CTGCTTTCCAACAGCCAATGGAATTGTCAATTTAATCCCATCATTCTCAATATACCTGATAACAATCACCAACTGCTCGTGGTGGCAAACAATCGCTCGTCTCATCTGCAATTATTGCCAATGGTTTTCCTCGCAAGGTTTTCGCAATGTTCCGCAACACGGAACGTCCGTCTGTACCCGTTCAGTCATACTATCGGTAATGTAGGATGTGAGGCATAGCAGATTGGTGGTTGTAGAGCGACCGCCAGTAAACCCGTGTTGATCAGCACTCAGATACTGCTTGCTGTGAGAGAGCAACGGTTCCATAATAACAAGCTCGAATAGTTTCGAAACAGCACTCAGCGATGTAATTCCACGATAGTTATCCACGGCTCGTTTGCTTCCCTTTTTGTGGACAGGAAACATGTGTGCACATTTCCAGAAGGATGGAAATATACCACTGGAGAGAGACATCCGGAATAGACGGTGAAGTGGAGTTAACAAGCAAGCAATATGTTTCTTCAAAAACACGGACGGAACTCCATCGGGTCCAGGGTTGAAGGACGATTTGAGCTGCGTTGCAGCGTTAGAAATCATCTCAACGTTGACATCAATTGCACTCAGCGTTTGACCATTTAGTGGGATGTTCCTGGCTGCGAGGGAAACATGGTCGTCACTTAGTCTCTCATCAGTGAACACACTGGCAAAATTGACAGAAAAAAGGCGACAAATATCCTGCGGAGTGGAAGCGACTTCAATTCCATTGACGATGGGAGGCCAGATTCTCTGCGTTGCTCGTTCACGTAGTTCCGGAAGGATTTCGGGTGTAGTTTAAGGTTACGCTGAATACCTCGTTGAAATCGCAGAAAGCATCGATGACTGGCTCGCTGATACTCGTGATTAAGCCTCACGTAGTGATGTTTCAGAGGAAGCGTGCGATACTTCGTAAATCTTCTCAATGCTGCTCTCTTGGTCGACTTCAACCTACGCAGCTCAATCGTCTGCCAGGGAGGGTGAGAGTCTTTGCGTTGAATTATTTTCGGGACGTGTCTGTCAATGACATATGCCAAGACATGAGAAAAAGTTTGCGCAGCGGCCTCAACGTCGTCATGATCGAAAATGTTCTCCCAGTCCATGTTTGACAACACATCTACAATGCTTCGATGGTCGGCCTTTCGAAAGTCATTAGAAACCGCAGCAGGAAGACTATCGAAATCACGAACGAGATTGTCCTCAACAGTGACAATCAGAGGAGGGTGGTGCGGAACAAGCTTAACTGGTGGACAAGGTGCTGTGGATATGAACGGAGCATTGTCCTGAGTGCTCACGAAGCAGAGGTCCAAACTACGGTTGTTCTCGTTGACTACGTAGTTAATTTGAGAAAGCGTTGCTACGCTATAGTTATCGAGAAGGCCGATAGCTCCTGCATGAAATACAGAACGTTCTGGATCTGGATAGAGGAAGCCGCTATGGGATGGTCTCCACGAAACGCCTGCTAGGTTAAAGTCCCCAAAAATTAATAGCTCATCAATTGGAGTCGCTCTTTCCATTACTGTGAAGACTGATTGACAGTGAGTCTCGATGAGTTCAAGATCACGAACTCGATCTGGTGGCATGTACAATGCGCACAAAAATAATGTGCGATCGCCCAGCTTAATGGCTGTCCAAACCTGTTCCACACTGTTCCACGATTCATTTTCGATTGCTCTCGCCTCCAATCCGGAACGGACAGCCACAAGAACGCCACCACCAGTAGATTTTCGGCTGTTGTTTGGATTCCGATCGCAACGAAAAACCTCATAATCGGATCCGAACACCTGGCTGGAAAGCGTTCGCGAATCGAGCCACGTCTCGCATAGGACAATCACATCATACTCTATGCAATTCTTCTTAGAAGTCCTCTGGAATTATTTTTAGAACTCTTCTTGACTTTTACTCAGAACACATTGGAACTGAAATTCAGAAAAAAACAGAATTTTCTTGGAATATTCTCCAGAAATCTTTAGGAACAGTCCTCAGAATTCAATATCCTTGAGGTTCTTCTCGGATTTTTTTAGAACTCTCCTAAGAGTTCATTTCAGAAGTCCACTGGAAATATACCTAGAACTCTTCATGTTTTTTTTTTCCTTTAGAGTACCAGAAATTTTTCCCGGAATGAGCTAGAAATTATCCTCGGAATTCCCTTGAAATTTTTCTCAACATCCCTCTGGAATTTCATTCAAAATTTGATCCTCCCGGTATTCTTTTTGAAATTATCTTGAAACTATCTGCAGGATTCACTAGAAATTATTCGCAGAATAATCATGCAATCATCCCCAGAAATCGTTTCTTTTGGAACAGTCAATACCTTTGAATTTCTTCTCGGAAGTCAAATTTAAGTTGTCCGTCCATTCACCAAAACATTGTAGTTTTTCTACCAGAAATGTTCAATAAAGCTTGGCCCTACATTCACTAGAACTGTGCAATTTTCAATTCAGCTTGCCCCTCCATGTAGTAGATTGTTGCAAATCTTACACCCGAAATTTTCAATACAAACTTGCCCCCAGGTAATTTTAGACCAGAAAATTTCAATTGACCAGAACGGTGTAAATTTTCCACCGTTAATGTTCAATAAAAAATTGCTTCTCCAATCTTCTGATTCGTTCAGATTTCCTTTTTCCATTTTCTACCAGACATTTTCAATATAGCTGGCTTCTCCTATCATCAGAATGTTGCAAGTTTTCCACCAAATAAAGCTTGCCCCTATTTTCGGATTTTTCATCATAAATTTTCAGTAAAGCAGCTTCCCTCCAATCATCAGAATGGTGCAAATTTTACACCAGAAAATATTATTAAAATTTGTTTCTCTATTCAGCAGAAGGATGCAAATTTAAGACCAAAATTTTTCCGAAAAGCTTGCCCATCCGTTCACCAGAACGGTGCAGATTTTCCACCAGAAATTTTCAGTAAAGCTTAATTTTAAATAAAGCTTGTACCCTCATTTACCATATCAGTGCCAGTTTTCCGCCAGAAATTTTCTGTTCATTTCATTTATCAGAGCGATGCAAATTTTTCACCAAATTTTATTTAATAAATCATGGTCCTCCATTCACCAGAACCGTGCACCAAAAATTTTCAGTGAAGTTTGTATCATCATGCACCTTTGTGGTGCAATTTTCAGGCTTTGCCTCTTCATGCACCAAAATGGTGCAGGTTTTCCACCATAAATTTTCAATGAAGCTTGCATTCATTAGAACGATACAAATTACGCACCAGAAAAATAAATAAACCTTGCTTCTACATTCACCACAGTGTTGCGAACTTTCCACTAGAAATTTTTAGTTAAATGTGCACCTCCAAATTTTTAGTGTGATTCAATTTTTCCACCGGAGTTATTCATTTTGATTAGTCCCTCCATGCACCACCACCTTGATGATAATTTTACCACAGAAATATTCAGTAAAAAGCTTTTACTTCGATTTACCACCACGAAAGTAAAATTTTTCAACCTTAAATGTACCCTCTTCTTTGAACCCTCCATGAACTACCGAAAAAAAATTACACCAGGATTTTTTAGTATGCAAAAAATTTCATTGAAGTTTGTCCCTTCATTCAACTATGTGGTGCAATTTTCAGGCACCATCTCAAAGGAATTGACGCAATAAAAGGTTTCCAGTGCCCTTATATTATGAAATGAAGTTATTTTACCTTCAAATCAAGTTATCAAGAAATCAATTCCCCGAAACATAATTTGTAATAAGATTTTATATTCAAATTTTGAAAATGTGAAAATAAAAATCTTATTTATAAAAGAGGAGGCAATTGCCCCACCATGCCCCACCCTGTGCACGCCATCGCTTCCGTGTACCAGAGAAAATGCGAAGCCTGGACTCAATTTTCAGGATACTTTCTTGAAGAAATTTGAAGGCGATTCCTTGAAGAGTCCAAAAAATTGCATGCCCCATAACTTCAAATTTTTCAAAAGCCCAAACCTCCGATACCGTTGCGACATTGCTGATGAAATTAGAACCTGCCCGTTCCAGTTTCATTGTTGTATGTTTTGTTGGAGCTGATATTTGAGCTCTTGAAATTTCGAGCTGATGGTAAGATCAATCAGAAATAAGGTTTCAACAGCCATTCACCTTTTGAACAAGTTGTACGAGAAAAGACTTCCCCGAAACAGGGCATGTCGATTGAATTTCAGAAGTTTTCTTAATTGTTTGTTTGCAAACAAACGTCTTTTAAGTGTCGAAACGTTCGCAGAATTGGAAAGCCGCTCACGAGCTCTGACGACATTACGATTCACTATTATTTGAGTTGAATGGTTTCCTCTTTTCGATTCAGTGAATACACTCTACGAAAAAGTCATGTAAATGTTAGTGCCCTGCGTCCGCTTTTATGACACACGAATCAGTTGTACGAGACGAGAAAATCATTTCGCACTTTTCCGAACACATAATCGTTTGCTTACGTTCCATGATTTACGTCACATGTAAAAATAGTTCTTTTAAAGTGTGTACTTACGTAACTAAAACTTTGGTTTCCATCCAGAAATGTGCTTTCCACGAGAAAATCTTAAATGGATTCTACTCAACCGGAAGATCGAATTTCCAATTATTTCCAGCTTGTCTAAAAGCCTCGCTTCGCGGTGCTTTTCCTGCTAGCCGCCGAGACGCACGCCTAACTCCATACAATTTACATACATCGGATTTGAAACCCAAGATCCCACCGGTGGGTGTTTATTCTCGAAATTCCACATGTGCTGTTTACGTCCCAATCTAACTTTAATGAAACCATTTTCTAATTTTGAAATATTGCGCGTCATGTTGTCAGGAAAAGGCGCGCTTTCCACTGACTGATTCAACCCGCCCCTTCTCCAAAGTGGAAAATGAGATGATGTTGATGAAAGGTTGTAGAATAGGACTTTTCCCCGTGAAGTACTCCTACATGGGCTATAAATTTGTAATAAGACGCTTTTCGGGGAAGCTGAAGACTGACTATAAACTGTTTAATTAATCGCATGCGATTTTGCTCCTTTCCAGCTGTTCCGTTAATTGGGAGTCCCAAACGACGAATGCCACCACGTACATCATATTCCTGTTCGTGTTCGGCTTGGTAGTACCGCTGGTGGTGATTATCTATAGCTATTCGAACATTGTCGTCAATATGAAAAAGGTGAGTGCCGATTTGAGCTTCTTTGGCTTAGGTTATGAACTATTACAAACAATTTCCCCCCAGAACGCCGCCCGTGTGGGTCGAATCAATCGAGCAGAGAAGCGCGTCACCCGGATGGTGTTCGTCATGGTGATCGCCTTCATAATCGCCTGGACGCCGTACGCCGTGTTTGCGCTGATCGAACAGTTCGGCCCAACGGAAATCATCAGTCCGGCCATGGGCGTCCTGCCGGCCCTGATAGCCAAGTCGAGCATCTGCTACAATCCGATCATCTACGTCGGTATGAACACGCAGTTCCGGGCGGCCTTCAACCGGGTTCGGAACAACGAATCCGTCGACAATAACACGACCACAAACCAGAAGGACATCACCAGGGACACCAGCAAGGAGATTGTGGAGTGCAGTTTCGACTTTTGCCGCAAGAAGCGGCTGAAAATCAAGCTGAAATCCAACAACAACAACAACAATAATTCCCGCCAACCGACGGTGATCGAACCTAGCAGTACCAGCAATGCCGACGACGTGGAACGGCCAACCCAGGTGCAGACGATACTGAACTCGGTCAGCGGTATCGAATCACCGCGATCGACGGTGACCGGGGCCAAAAAATTGCTGCGGTCGGATTTCGAACTATCTGTGATCAGTAGCGGAAAATCGATTCTCATCAAATCGAACACGTTCCGGTCCAATCTGGTGTAACGAAGGAGCATGGGGAGGAGTGTATGCGAGGGCCTTATCGAATCATTGTGAGTACATCGAGATTTAGATGAAATGCCAGCAGTTAGGATCCGTAGGAAGAGTAGAGAAGGTGGAGAGTTATTTTAAACTAGTGATAAAATCGATACAATTTGAGGGGATGGGTACGCCGTAGATGCTAAGAGAAAAAAAAATGGTGAGGTGAGAGGGAAAATCTGACAACAAACCGACCACGAACGCTAATGCTGAAATAAGTTTACAGAAAAACAGAAATCCTACGCATACATCCAGATTGATTGACAAACTTCCATCCGCACCAGATATGTTTGTCAAGCTTGAATAATTATGCATCTTGTTTTCAGTGTCAGCCAACGGATGATTGCCAGCCAGTTTTGCTTGCCTCTCTATCGCTATGACGCGCTTGTCAGATTCAGACACTATGACGATCTGCGTCAAACTCGCAGCCCACGTGCTCTGGAAAGCGATACTTAAACCCGCAGCGTGATTCCGATCAAATGCAGTGAAACAGAAAGAAGCTTGTTAGCACGATAGTTATAATCAGAATGGATTGACTCCCGACATTTCCCTTCTACTATTTACATCGGCAAACTACAAATAAACTATACATCCTACATTGAAGCGAGCTTCAAAGGAAATTCGTTTCACACTTTCACCCTCGAAGTTCGACGGTTCGGAAATTTAACTAGGGGAATTTACGTATTCTCGTCAATCAATCAATCACGCACATATATGACGTGTCTGTTTGTTTACATTCATCTGCTGCTTGCTTCTCTATCCATTCGAATCGACAGAATTCTTCAAACTGTTAGAAAGCGTTTTTACACCGCCCCGAACTTCTCAGGTGAGTGTGACTATTGTTGGCAGCCTCTTTTTCTTCGGCAACCTTCCCATTAGAACTGCGTGTTAACCAGCTGTTCTATTATCGGCAACTTGAAATCAACCCCATTTTGTAGTACGTATGCTTCATTTGAATAAAAATCTGGCATAACAGGACTGCTCGGACGTACAAATATAATCACATTGAAACTGAAAAACTAAAGAACCGTTTGAATGCAATCAAGGAAGTGTGTTGATGGAAAACATAGTGAAATTAACGTTTTAAGTTTTGTTGCCGAAAAAAGTCAATGGGTGCCGAAGCCGACATTTACCCTACTTATTTCTCTCTTTTAAGAATGCTTCTACAGCCCAACCAATGGAAATGCAAGATTATTTTATAGTTGAAAAATTTGTGGTAAATCACCCCAATTATAAGTTCTGCATCATGAACTACAGAATAATTTTTAAGAATTTTTTTTTTATTTGGAATTAGGCTCAAAGCCGCCGAAAGGTATACGGAGCCGAGGGATTAAGCAATTTTTTAGTAATTATAAATGAGTTCTTCATTTTTCTCCGTGTTGTTCATCCTCGCCTGTAGCGCTTCGTTTTACCCCGTTCCCCCAATGTTCGAGCCAAGTTGGCGGTACTGCCCGTCCCACTGCTCCCCTCTTGATAATTATTGGAATCTGGCATATTGTAGAATTCAAGATGGCAGATCTTTAATAAAGATACTACATTACAATCCCAGATAGAGGCCACCGAAAAACGAATACGCGTTTCAGACAATAACGGTAAAAAAGGAATACAGACTTGATTGATTTGAGCAATTGATGTCACTAAAAAACGATACGACATTTTATTTCTAATGTGAAAAAACGGAGATTTCAAGAATTTAGGAAATTAATCAGGTTTCTTCATTACTATAATTTAGATGATCTAAATGTGAAGTCCGAGATTGGAAATGTTATTAAATGTATCAGAATTTTAAGGTTTATCAAAGTGACATTTATTCAATAGCAGCGCCTCCGGTGGTCGGATTTGTAATGTTTTGACAGCGATTTGTTTTGTAAGTACATGTGTTTCAGTGGCGAAAGTTTCGATACGTGCAGTATTGAAAAGTTGTATTAAGGAAGAAAGCAAAATTTATGCTACACACCATCGTCGAAAACCCGACGTGGTCAATTAGAAATATCGCGAAAAAAAGGAAAATTGGATATGTGGGCCATCAGTGCATCCGAACACACCCCTGCAGCGCCAAATAAATCGCCAGAGTGAGAACCATTAAATCTTCAGCCTAATCAAGAAATTCGGGCGTATGCCGTCAAGAAGCCTATGTCAGTGCGTCACGCTTTTTGAGCTCAGGTAGGGGTCGTAGGGTCCACAAGACCAACGGTATCAGCAGAATTCCTCGTGATTGATGAAGGCCGGCGATCGTTACTCGGAAGATCGACGGCAAGTGAGATGAGGTTATTGAAAGTGGGATTGACGGTTAAAGGCCCACGCACATTAGATCCGGATCGGACGCGTTGCGGCAAAGTGACAGCTAAATCTATTGTCTAACTGTCAAATTTACGTCAACGCAACGCAAACGGATCTAATGTGGGTGGCCCTTAACAGTTGCGCGAACTCTAACCTGTTGGAAATATTCCCGAAGATGCCGGGAGTGAAGGTAAAGTTTAGTGTTGACAAAACGATCCCACCCGAAAAAAAAAACGCCTACTATAACGTACCAGCTGCTTATCGAGAAGGAGCTAGGAAACGTCTGGATGAAATAGAGGCTCGTGGCATTATCGAGCGGGTCAGTACAGGACCCGAATGTAGATTTTTCACAAAACTAGATCTAAGTAATGCCTTCTATCACCTCGAACTCGCGAACGAATCACGTGACTTGACAACGTTCCTAACAGAAACCGGGATGTAGCGATTCACCCGCTTGATGTTCGGCGTGAATTGTGGCCCTGAAATCATTCAGCGAGAAATGTGCCGGCGGCTAGAAGGGGTAAAACACGTGATAGTTTACATAGACGATGTAAGCGCTCCGTTCAACAACCGCTAGGGTATTGCAGATTCTAAAAGGCAACAATTTGACCTTAAACGTGGAGAAATAAAGACAACAACAAAAACTAAATCAAATTCCTTGGGCACGAGTTGGATGGCAATGGATTCCACGTAGACGAAGTCAAAATCAAGGACATTCGAAAATTTCGACGGCCAGCTACCGTCTCGAAGCTTCGTAGTTTTTTGGGCATAGCATCATTTCTTAGCCCCTACATTAAGAAATTCGCTGTATCCACTGCCCAAACCTGGTGTTGGAGTCCAGACCAAGAAAAAGCATTCGAGGCAGTGACGGAGAAGATCTCTAATTGCACAACCACGTTGGGATACTTCTCAGATCACTCGATGGAAGAGGTTCCAAAGCGCTCCGATCTCATTCTGGCGATGCAGGGGTGTGTTCAGATGCACTGACGGCCCACATCTCCTTTATCGGGCAACACGTTCTTCACATCGATGTTCTCAAGCGGTTCCGTGATTGCAAGAATGTGGCCCGGAAGATTCAAAGCACACGTCGTGCTGGAACTTTGGATCGGCAGTTGAACTGGAATATGTTGAAATATATGATGAATGAACTGGAACTGGAATATGTTGAGGTCGATAAAGAGAAACCCAGGACTTTCGGATCGGGATTTCACCAAAAAATACGGTGCCAGCCGTAGTACCGTCCGGAGGATCCATCTGCGAGCAGGTTACCGTTCATTCTATGCTGATTTGATCAACTATGAGTTCTTTTGAATGCTTTCATAGCCCAACCGGGACTTTTAAACTTTAAAATACTAAACAGAGAAGAGGAAGAGCGCCATTCATAATGTTCCATCAGTTCGCTTTGTTAGCTATCGATAGCTGAGACATGAAATACCTTGGTCAACGAGAGTTGAACCTAGACCCTCACTCTAATAAGCCAAACTCCTAATCACTGTTTTATCCCATCGTGCTTTTATCAGAACTTCTAAAAGTTCCCACAATTTTCATGAAGTATATGGAACTGATTTGAAGGTTGGAAACTACCCTGATGAACACTGAACTTCCCTTAAAATATTTAAACTCTCCTGATTTTCTCTGGCCTTCCCAAATGCTCCCGGATTTTTACTGAAATTCTACGAAGCTCCTGAAGTTTTAACAAGTTTCCTGAAACTTTCGAAACTGTAACATCCCTGCCCCCAGAAGTTCTCAGCACTACTCTAGAATTATTGAAATTTTCCTGAAGCTCTTTGCACTATCCTGATCTTAGTAGAACAGCCCTAAGAATCTTTTAGTTTTCTAAAATATCTGAAAATTTGGGAGCATCTTGCAATTAACTTCCCTGAATTTCTCCAACTCTCGAAACCGCCCGGCTATTTATGGAGCTTTATATAAAATATTCTCACATTTTCCTGATGTCCATGAAGTCTTCTTGAAGATCTCGGAATTCTCGTGTCACCTTTCAAATAAACCAATCTACATTGATCGATTCTCTTCATCGACTTTCTCTTTAGTTGATAACTCGGCTCCAATAACATGGTCAGCTGTTCTTATTGTCCAATACGCTTAATAATACTTTCTTTTAACAGACTATACAGAAAAAAAAAACTAGCACGCAATATGAATGCAGCAAAGTTATTAACGAAAGAGAGAGTCGATGAAGAGAATCGATCAATGTAGATTGGTCTATTTGAAAAGTGACGCGAGAATTCTCCTGAAATTATCGAATTTTCCGTAACAATTTCTGAACTTCTATGAAGATTCCGCTGATGTTCTCTGAACTCCTGTATACTCGAAGATAACCTGAAAATTCATAACATTCCTGAAGTTCTTTAAACTTCCCTTTGGCCCTTCGCTCATTTTCAACTTCTATTCAATTTTCCTACTGCCGTACTCTAGCCAGGGATGGAAAATCATTTACATTCATTTCGTGCATTCATTTACATTCATTTGCCTCTAACTTTTTTCATCAATAGAATACCCTTAAATGATTTTTGAAGTTTTTGTAGCTTTTGATATTAACTACAGCTGAACAATCTACCTACCCTTTTCAGACTATCCTCTAGCTAATAAATTATCACACTTAAAGCTTCATGTTAGATAGCATTTCCAGCCAACTCTGAAAATCGCAAACTTTACGTATGAAGTAACATACAAAACACGCAAACCAAAAATCTCTTACATTGAATGTTATAACGGATTCGTTTATTATTCAGTTCCAACCTGGATCGGGTATCAAGATTGGGTCTGCTTGTTTTCTGACAAACGTCAGTTTGCTCGTTTGTTTTTAAAACCTAGCTCAGGTTGAGGTTCGCACTGACAAAAAGTTCGGTTTCGCACTGATAATAAACGAATTCGCTATTAGTTGCATTTCCTATCATCAAATCAATACCGCTGCGAATGATATAAGTTGACCGCAAAGACGATGCAATGGTTTTTTTCCTTTTTTATTTCGTGTTCTGTCGACGCATTTATACGGCCAAGCTTTTTATTTATAACATTGTAGAACGACGCACACACTTGCTTCGATTCTCTCCAATTCTCGTTGAGCAGTAAAAGCATGCGCAATCAAATTATCGTTCTATGAGCGCTTCTTATTCGCTTTTAGCGCATCCGTATTCCGAAGCATGGAGAGAGCACAGGTCTGAGCATCGCAACGTTCGTGGTTCGAGTCCTATTCGGCATGATTCATTTCACTCACTAATACACTCCAAATTT